GGAAATATTAAATGTCACAATTAACAGTGGTTGTGAAGCTTCAGGCATTTGTCAGGAATGAACCCTCAAATTCTGCTCCTGGAACCCCGCAGGTGGGGAAAGCCACAGGAGAATAAGAATAAGAATAAGAATAAGAATAAGAATAAGAATAAGAATAAGAATAAGAATGAGAATGAGAATGAGAATGAGAATGAGAATGAGAATGAGAAAGAAAGAATAAGAAAGAATGAGAATAAGAATGAAAATAAGAATAAGAATGAAAATAAGAATGAGAATGAGAAAATAGAATAGGAATAGGAATAAGAAAAATAATGAAAATAAGAAAGAAAGAATGAGAATAAGAATGAAAATAAGAATAAGAATGAGAAAATAGAATAAGAATAAGAATAGGAATAAGAATAAGAATAAAAGAATAAGAATAAGAATAAAGAATAAGAATAAGAATGAGAATGAGAAAGAAATAATAAGAAAGAATGAGAATAAGAATGAATGAGAATAAGAATGAAAATAAGAATAAGAATGAAAATAAGAATGAGAATGAGAAAAAGAATAAGAATGAGAAAATAGAATAGGAATAGGAATAAGAATAAGAATGAGAATAAGAAAGAAAGAATGAGAACAAGAAAGAAAGAATGAGAATAAGAATGAAAATAAGAATGAGAATGAGAAAATAGAATAAGAATAAGAATAAGAATAAGAATAAGAATAAGAATAAGAATAAGAATAAGAATAAGAATCCACAGGTGAGGAAAGCCACAGGAGAATGAGAGAAAGAATCCACAGGTGAGGAAAGCCACAGAACAAGAATCCACATTTTCTCATGTTCTCATGGAGATTTTTTGTGGATGACATTTTTTGATGACATTTCTGTGGATGACAGATTTTTTTGAAGATTTTTTTTGGTGGGTAATCTTAGGGATTGGTTGTTGGTTTGATGTGATTTTTCTGCAACTGTTTTTTGACTAATCTTTTGGGACTACCTAATTTTTTTATTTATTTAAGGGGTTATTGATTTACTTAAATGGGATTGTAAGTCGTTTGTTTTGAGGTGGTGAGTGCTGCAGTGCTATGAGGATTGGACGAAGCGTTTTGAGGCATTTTTGAGGATTTCCCTGTGTGCCCTGAGCCCCAGGGGCACAGCAGACCCTGCAGCTGCTGCTTTTCCCTCAGGTTTCTACCCCATCAACCACACGGACTGCCTGCACTCGCTGAGCCACCACTGCTTCGACGGCACCACGGGCGAGCTGGCCCACGCCTTCTTCCCGCCCCACGGCGAAATCCACTTCGACGACCACGAGTACTGGATCCTGGGCAACACCAGGTTCAGCTGGAAGAAAGGTGAGCACAGAGGAGCTGGGTTTGGAGTTCAGCCTGGGAAAGCGGCAGCAGGAATGGTTGGGGGTTTATTGTGGGGTTGGAAGTTGTTGTTCCTCTGCCCTGAGCTCCGGCTGAGTGGTGGAAATTCCATTTCTTGCTGGAATCAGTGAAATTATTGGATAGTTCAGCCTCATCCTTCTGTTAAAATCCATGTGTTGGATGCTGCCAAGAGGCTTCAGT